GCCCGGGTGACACGAAAGAGTTAATAATACATGCAATTCATGGAAGAAAATAGAGGTGGATAAGATCAAAGTCCCGGCCTGATGAACAGCTAATTAGTCACAGCAGGGTGAAGTCAGGTTTAACGGAGCAAATGTGGAGGGAAATATAAAAATACCTTTGAGTGAGAACCTGCTGTTCAAAGTTCATGCAGAATACACTGCCATCAGCAGCATGCACACACACACACAGACACACACACACGCACACGTGCACATAACATTGCTTCATTAGCTGCACTCCTGAACACATACACACACACACACACACACACACACACCAACTGCTCATGCAAGTGCATACACAGTTGCGGAGAAGAGGAGGAAGAAGTGAGTGCTGTGTTCAGTCACTACTCACCTAATTACCTCTTTTCTGTAACACATAATTTATTGACTGTAGTGGAGATGTTTTACACAGGAGCAGAGTTGAGACACAAAAGCAAAGACAGAGCAAATCGAGTGGTCCTTCATTTGTCTTCATGACGAGGTTTCACTCTCAGAACGGTTGGGAAAGAGCTATTAATTAGGCTCCTTCATCGGTCCATGAGAAACACAGGACTAAAGTGCTTGCTGTGGGCCTACGCTACTGCGTGGGATTTTTTTTTTCCCCCCACCAAAACGACGACAACACGGGCAACGTCAGGTTAACGTCCGTGGATTTCAATGTTTCTACGAGCTCAAAACTGGCTGAGAAGACAGTTAGCAGTGTTTAATCTTTAAATACAGTGCTCCCAAAAAGGTGTGGCAGTGTGGAGAACCAAAAACAGCACCAAGGAAGGAGAAAAGAAACAATTATGACAGAGAGGGGATGAGATGGGGAAAGGGCTTTCTTCCTTCTTTTTTTTTTATCTGTCTATCAGTCTGTCTATTTCAAAACCTCGTTCATTTAGTTTAGTAAACCTGGATTACACCACAAGGCTTTGGCCACTGTGTCCACTCTCCAACATCCGACTAATGCCAACTCTCAGTCTCTGCTGCCTGACAGAGGATGAGAAAGAAGACGAGTGGAGAAAGACGAACGAATTTAGGAATTAAAAAACATAAATAAAATTTAAGGGTCTGAATATAAGATTTAAAAAAAAAATCAAACATGACAAAAGAAAAGGAATTCAATTTTGACAAGTGTAGCAGTGCAAAGCTGTGGGTAATAATGTGTGTGACTAAGTTTAATGTATATGCAACAAAAAATAACAATAAAAGTGCTAATGGGTCGTAATGGCCTGGTGAAATAAAAATGATGCAAAGCAGAATCTACATGAACTGTTATGGCAAATTAATTCTTTTTTTTTAAAGCAAACCCCAGAATGCTTGATTTATAATTGTAGTAAATTCCCACATCTTTGGGTGAATAAAATATGAAATAAAAAAAATCAAGGCAAACTGCTTGAATATTCAACTCATTCTCCTTCGAGGCTACTTTTTCTTCCTCTTACAAAAGGTCAAATGAAAAATTAACGTGTTGTTAAAAAGAGACAGAAAATAAGAAACAGAAACAAACTGTGATCAGAGACAACGGTGGAGAAAAAAACCAAACAAACACTTGACTTTGTCAGGATGAGAAGGAAAACCGAGGAGGAGAATGTGAAAACAATGCAGAGCGGACAGATATACTGACTTGATGAACGCTGTCGTTTCAGGCATAGTTCAGTGTGAGAGTGCATTTGTGTGTTCAAGTGTGTTTTCTGTATACGTAAAGCAAACACACAAACACACACACAAACAGACGGACAGATAGACAGACACTAAACAACTGTTAACCTACCTAGAGTAAAATTTAAGAATCCCGCAGGAGTGTGATGCAAAGAAAATGGGTGTGGAGGGAATAAAAGAGAAGGAAAAGGAGGGGAAAAAAGAGTCATTCGTGTTTTTTTCTTTTTAGTTATCTTAGGGAAAAAAATGTCATCCAAGTTCACATAATCACAAAGTTTTTAGAGACAGAGACAAGGGTGGGATGGGGACATGAGGGCAGCGGTGGAAATGAAAAGGCAAGGAGGGACTGACAGGTATGAGGCGGCTTGATGAGGGGGGTGCAAGGGGTGGACAAAAATTAAATCAAAACTCCTCCCTCTGTTATCTGGTATCTTATTTATTAAAGGAGGAAATTGTACACCAGGTAGATGGAAAAGTAGATGAGAAGGCACATGACGGAGAGAGAGACTATATGAAAAGATGAAGCACCTCCCAGCACCGCGATGAGGAATAAAAAAAATATAAAGCGAAAGAAAAAATTGAATACTCCAAAGCCTTCCGTTTTGGCTGTGTTTAGTGAGGCGAGGGGAGGGCTTTCAGTTATATCCCCCTCTCTCTGCAACTGGTCAGTCTTCTTCTATCTTCTGTCCTCCTCAAGGCAAGCTGATACCTTCCCCTCAGATGAGCTGCAGCCCTTCACCAGCACAGCAGTTGGACACGGCGCTCAGGCTGGCGTGCATGCTGAGACCGCTGCCTACCCAGAGATAGAGTGGAGACGAGATCACACCTAGATCTGACGAGAGCACTGAGCTCAACTCAAACTGCAGTCACTCGCTTTCCTCCCCCTCACAGAGAGAGAGAGAGAGAGAGAGAGAGAGAGAGAGAGAAAGAGAGAGAGATGTGGAGGTGGGTCCCTCTGTTGTATTGTGAATTAGAGATGCTTCACTAAAAGAAAGCTGTTGCTTCACTCGTTGAACAACTGTTTCTGCAGAGAAACCAATAGCTCCCTCTATTGACACCAGGCAGGAAAATAAAGTGGATATTTAATCACTGCGATGGTTTAATGGTGGTGACTGGTTTATTTATCTGCACTAAAACAACCAGGCTGCCTCGAATCTAACGAGAATAATGTTGTTGGCAGTTGTGAAGAACATAATAATAGAGCTTTTATCGATTAAATGTCCTGTGTCACTTTCATCTTTAAAGTTTCATTAACTAGTTTCAGAGCTGGATGTTTGGTGATGTGTGATTCACAGATGTAGTCTCAGGACAGCATTACATACTGCAGACTTTCTCCAGAGTTTTTCTGTCAGACTTTGTAGTCACCATGACTGGTAAAAGATCAACATTTACTGTATATACAGCTTTAAGTAGTGACGACTCTTTAATCTGCTTCTCCATCCATACATCAAACTATAAACTAACTGTTGCTTTTGTGGCAAACTGATATGATTTCATAAAGTGTGCAGGCTATGTTCACTGAATTTACTGACTGATACATACAGTGTAAATATATTTATTATTATTATTATTTGGCCGTTCATAGGGAGAACGCAGTAATTTAAAATGTATAAATAAGTGGACATGGGGAAGAACTCGGCCATAGTATTTTTCTACATAGGAACGACAAAAAAGTTTATAGTGCTTCAAATCAATCTTACAAATGTAGCTATAATGATTAAATTAGCAGGTGGACTCATTCTCTAGCACCGTTCACAGCAGCGCAGGGTGTTTAAAATGGTAAATAATAGGAAAGCCCCCAAGCTACAGCAGACAACATATCTAGCAGAAATGTTGTTCTCAAGTCTGAGTCTTTACAACCTTCCACAGAAAACAGAGACTAAGACAGCAACAGCACCATAGGCTACATCTCACTAACGAAAGCTCATCATTTCACATCACAGAGACAGGAGGACATACAGCAACTGGTGGTCTTTTATTGTTCGGGTTCTTGGAACAACTTTTATATCACCAGCAGTACAGTCGAGTCTTCTTCAACATTCACAGCCATAACTGCAGTGTCATGGACAGCTCCCACTTCACTATCAATCCTACAACTAAGGCTGGGAGTGGAACTGGTCCCCATTACCCACTGACAGACCTACCTGAGACAGGTGGATAATGTGGTGCTAGTGTAACAACCCTGCTGAGAACGGAGAGCCTGTGAAGATCTAAATTTAAATACCTCGGTGTCACATCACTGATTAACCCTGCTGAGAATGAACGGAGAGCCTGTGAAGATCTAAACTTAAATACCTCGGTGTCACATCACTGA